GGCTGAAGAAATGTGCAAAGTCATTCGTGAAAATCTCAAAGCCGCGCAATCGCGCCAGAAGAGTTACTATGACAGCAAACATCGTGACTTGGCTTTCGAGATCGGAGACCATGTCTACCTCCGCGTCTCTCCAATGAAAGGTACTCGTCGCTTCGGTATCAAAGGGAAGCTTGCCCCTAGATAGGTGGGTCCTTTCAAGATCATTGGCAAAAGAGGCGATCTCTCATATCAACTTGAGCTTCCATCCAACTTTGCAAATGTGCACGACGTGTTTCACGTGTCTCGACTCCGGAAGTGTTTTCAAGACTCCTGACCGCACCATCAACTTCGAAGAGATTGATCTCCAAGAAGACATGTCTTATCATGAGCACGCTGTTGCCATTCTTGAAGAAACTAAGTGCAAGACTCGTAACAAGTCTATCAAATTTCTGAAAGTCAAGTGGTCACATCATTCCGACTGTGAAGCCACCTGGGAACGCGAGGACCACCTCCGTTTCGAGTACCCAGAGTTTTTTCAGTTCTAGATCTCGGGACGAGATCCTTTCGTAGTGGTGGAGTGTTGTAACACCCCATATGTAACCTGCCATATTTATATTCCAACTCTTGCCATTTCCAGCACGAAGTTATGATATTTCCTCGTTGTCGGGTTTTTTTGTCTTTGTTTTGTTTTGCTTTTGTCATGCATCTCATATCATGTCATCATGTGCATCGCATTTGCATACGTGTTCGTCTCATGCATCCGAGCTTTTTCCCCGTTGTCCGTTTTGCATTCCGGCGCTCCTATGTCCTCCGGTGCCCCCTTTTACCTCTTTTCCTGTGCGGGTGTTAAACGTTCTCTGATTGGACCGAGACTTGCCAAGCTGCCTTGGTTTACTACCGGTAGACCGCCTGTCAAGTTTCGTGCCATTTGGACTTCTTTTGATACTCCAACGGTTAACCGAGGGACCGTAAAGGCCTCGTGTGTGTTGGAGCCCAACACCTCTCCAAAGTGGAACAAAACCCACCTAAACCCCTTCCATCATCTTAGTCGTTCGATCACGATCGCGTGGCCAAAAACCGTGCTCAATTTGGAGCCTCCTAGCTCCTTCTATGTATAAATAGGTCCTCCCATTCCAAATCCCGGGTCAATCCACCCCTAACCCTAGCCCTGCTCCTCTCCGTGTGCCGGACGCGTCCGCCCGCCGCCGGACAACCTCGCCGCCGCCACTCACCGCCCGCCACGTGGCGCCCTGCCGACCAGCCACCGTCGAGGCCCGCGGGACCCAGATCCGGCCCCCGCGGCCCGAAGCCGTCTGCCGCCCGCGCACGAGGTGCCGCCCGACCGCGCTCGCCGGCCCCGCCGCCTCCGCCGCGTGCCCTGC